TTGTAATAATTTTATTTTAAAATAATGTTAAATATGCTGGTTATGTTAAGATAAAATAGTTGCAAAAATTAGTAAAGATGAAAAATAAAATATGTTATTAATAATTAATGATAAATGAGAGTTGTAATATATTTTGCATATTTCATTTACAAGAAAGAAATGAAATAAACTATTACAATAAATATTATTTTATTTTGAAGAAAATGAACATTTGAAAATAAAAATAAAGCCAACCATTAAAAATACTCTTAGAACATCATCAAAATAGGGGAGAAAACAGGTCGACGGAGGAACGTGGGATAGACGAGGGGCGATGTGGCGCGTGGATCATAAATCAAGAAACAAGTTTTCAATTTGGAGTGGAGATGTTGTTTGACTTTGGGGCAAAGATCTCTATGACTCGGGTCTTGTAGGTTAGGTCCCACCATCACAAGCTTATCAGTTTGATTACTATTTTATACTTTGTACAAATCTGTTCCTTTTTTGTGGTTCTCTTCTTGTTTTCCCACTCTTGCTCTGCCACGTTTTAGACTCTGATTCAACTAAATGAGTATTAAAGTTCAAAATGTCTGATATTATATATTTTGCCTGGCCGTGTGTTTTGGACTTGCCAGCAGAAATGAAACTGAAGAGTAGATATATAGTCGGTATGATAGTGTGCAGTTGAGTAACATGTAGAAATGAAAAGAAGAAGAAAAGTTTTTTTTTTCTATTTTAAATTTTACATATTTTTATTTTTGAATTTTTTTTATCTTTAATGATAAATACATAAATTTTATTATATATTTGGATTTTTATATTTTCAATTTCTACTTATAAAGTGTTGATTTTAAAAACAAAGCATACTCATATATTTGCATAAATTTTTAAAATGCTAAAATTGCAAATTTAAGTTACTAATTGTAGATAAAGGTGTTCTATTTTTATTTTTTCAGTCTTTTTAAAATTTTAGTGGAAAAACACTTCGATTATATTTGTAAAAATTCATAAACTAAATATTTACCGGTATTAGTGGTTATATGAACCTTCACCGTAAACCAAAAGTGTAATCCATTAATTAAAGTTAGTTGGTGATTTTTCTATTAAATATTTAGTTTAGGGGGTTTCATCCCAAACAAATTTAGTTGAGGGGTTTTAACGTTAAAAATCATATATAATTTTGGTAAACTTTATAGAATATGACAATAACTAATACATTACATTTAATATTAATTTATATTTTTGGTAAACTTCTTAAAACACGGTAATAACTCATAAATTAAATCACTAGTAAAAATAAATATATTTAAATATGTATTATAAATTTCGAAATGCTATTAAATTTTACTTTTATAATTATAAAATTTGTAGTACTAATATTTGCAAATTTGTCTACATATTTTTAGAAAAAAAATTAATTTTTTAATCGTAATATCTTTAATTTCTTCTAGGTATCGACAAATTTTATAAATATTTTTTAGATATAATCTTTACTAACTAGACAATTTTTATATGAATCTTCTTAGTAATATTATACAAGTTAATTTAATACGTTTAACCAAAATAAATAGATAAAAATTTATAAAATTTGAATTTTAAACATATTACATATATAATATTAAATATAGTTTAAATAACCATTTTTTAATTTTGTGCTTAATTAAATCAAATTTATATTAAAATATTAATCAAAATAAATAATATTAATAAATTTCATTTTAAATATAATTTAACTTTAAAAAAAAATTATCACATGTGCATGAAAATACCTAATATATATATATATATACAAAGGAAAGCTTTGATACAAGATAAGAAATGATAGGCAAGAATTCTTGAGACTTTATTTTAGCCTTTGATCAACGTCCACAACAATATCTACATATTATCTATAGGAAGTATTTACCAACAAAATGGGGGTCGACGAAAACCAATGTCATCGAGACATGAGATCATTGTCAAGCCTTGAGACATCAACCAAGATTCCAGCAGTCGCATCTAGACAATCAAATCTGTTCAAAGCAATGTTCTTTTCAAGCAACGAAATTTTTTTGTGTAAAAGGGTTGTCACTAATATAGTGTTGGAACCAACCTACCAAGCAAAGAAGAAACAGATATACAGAGCATATAAGCTCAAATCGACCAAGTCTATCCCAACCTAAAAGCTTACTAAACCAGAGATGAAGATCTCTTTACCACTGGACATGTAATTCAATAAGAATCCCATAAACCAGAGATGAAGAGATTACAAAGCAAGCTGACGAATTGGCTATAACAACATCTTAATTTCTACAACAATTCAGATGTTGATTTATTGTAACTCACTAAAAAATAATTTTGTCATTTTGTAGATATACAGTTGAGATTAGTTCAAATTTAATTTTAAAAGGCTGTAAGAACGTTAAAAACAAATATTGTCGACCAAAAAAAAACGAAATACATAACCATAGACCTATTCTAATAAAAGATTGAACTAAAATAATAATTTGGACCATTTGGTGCAAAAATAAATAAGTTTTGGTTATAAATTCCTTAAACTAAATTAACAAATATCACAAGAAATAGACTAAACACTTCTTTGTCATAAACCAAATCGAAAATACAAAATCAAAAAAGTACATAGTTTAAGAACTTTGAGCGCTTGGTGATAGTTTGTCCGTAATTGTATTAAGCTAATAGATATTTCAATAACTAACAAAGGTAAATTTAATAAATAATATGTAAATATGTTACTATTAAGGAGTTCATAAATTAAAAAGATACTCGATAGTGGAAGGCACAATTGCTAACCCAAGACAAATTAAGTGGACATATAATACGACTAAGAAACATCTCGTCACTTAATTACCGAAGTATTAATTTGATCAAATCATGCTTTATATAGTGATTAGAACATATATCATAATTGTGTTTTTAACCGTCTTTACAAATTTTCAAAAATAGTGGACGAGACTGTGACTGTGCTAAACTTTTTTGCACATCTTTAGTTTACGTTATTAATCCACCGAAAACATGGCATAACTCGATAAATTGTCAGATAGTTAACATTTCCCCCTAATACGCAAACAGTTTACATATATTACAAAACTAGCCAACTTGGTATCTCCTAATGTCCAAAAGACATTCATCTATTTGAAGAACAAAGTATTAGGTTATGCAAAATTTTATTGATATTAAATTGGTGATTTAAATATAAAAAGTAAGTATTTTATATTTTTGGCATAACTCGGTAAATCGTGAGATGGCATACCTCGATAAATTGTCAGATAGTTAAGTAAATTAACATGAAACATTTTTTTGTGTAATCATAATGTTATCAGACATCAGTCTTCTAGCAAAAAAGGAAGACTGAGTTTCAGGTATTCAGTCAGATAGAACATTTTTCAATCTCTGGCATAAGACTTTAGAGATTATCTTTTTTTTTTGAACAAACTTTAAGAATTATCTTATAACTGAAATTATATAAGCTAATGGGTCGGAACTGTCTCATCTCTGTCAGCTTATCTACCTTCGGTATAAAGTATATATTTCTGTCATTTAATCCATTTGCCATAGATCCCTCAAATAGGAATTGATTAACCATATAAGTTAAATCATCCTTAATTATATCTCTAAATTTCTGATAAAATAGAGTTATCATTCCATCTGGTCCTACAACCTTCTCTGAGTACATTAAAAATAGTGTGTTTTAACCTCCCATTGAGTAACAGGTGTTGTAAGTTCCGCATTAATCGATTTAGTTATCGTGTATATACTTCAGATAGTGCTTCCTCAATTCAAAAAATATGTCGAAAATAACTAGTAGTAATGGCTACCAATCTCTCCTCATCTTGTACAACACTACTATTTGCGTTAAAAAAATGTATGATCTTATTCCTTGCACTCCTTTGTTTTGTGAGAACATTAAAACATTTTGTATTTCTATGTCTTCTCTTAGTCAAAATATATTATATTTTTGTTTCTAGAACATCTCTTCAACCTTATAAGGTACGGTTTCAAATCATAAATTTTGGCGTATGTATAAGCAGAAATTAAGGAAAAGAAGAGACAAATTTGATACTTGTTATTATTCGTTGATCACACACGATTCTTTTTAATCCTCATCATTTTCACAGTACAAAAAAAAACATCCGTATATCACATCATCTTGAGAGAAAATCGGAATGATTATAATGATGAGAAGGTTGTCAACTAAGCTTTTCTTTTTGAAGAAATATTAATTAATTTTGACCACTAATTAACTGTGAAGAAAGTGTTAATTATTGACTAAAACAGGCAGATGATAATATTTTGAGTGGTGTTGCCGCTTTTCCTTTCTTTAATCTGTAATTACTCAAATGAACAGAATCCAATTTTGAATATCCGTAGTATCGCCAGCCACTGCAAATCTGCCATAATGTAAACTAATGGTATAGAATATGATGATAATAATTTTAATACTTCACTGATATTTTTGGTTTTCTAAGCTTGAGGGTTTATTTCTGAAATCAGAAAGTGAGAGGAGATGAATAGTGGAGAGAAGAAAACAGAGAAAAGTCACGTGAAGCAGAGACAGAAGCTAGAGGCCTGGGGTTATATTGTGACATAAGATCCAAACCAGACCAGACACTCCCACTCTGTCAACTTGCCAAATAACTAGTACAACACACTCTCTACGCAGTCTTTAAAGTTATTAAGATCACTCTTACTAATAATAATAAATAAGATCACAACAAAATAGTGGATGGCAAATATGAATAATAATAATAAATAAAAAATAATTTGCTAAGATGTGTCAAAAAAATCAATTGCAATAAAACATTTTTATCTGGTTTTGTTCAAGATGGTGGAATAATTGAACAAATTAAAAAAAACAGTTTGGAATAACTTATTTAGAAAATCTGACAGAAGCCTATTTGGCAGTTTACAGATCACTACAAAAGCCCAGTTTATAGAAATTTAAATTTGAATAAAATCATAACGCATGAGTAGGAAGCAAAAAAAAAAAAGAATTATTCATCTGGCCCAATATAGCAGGGAGCAAAAAAAAAAAAAAGAAGAATATTACATGTGAAGAACGCATATGTGATGATCCAAAAGGAGACTAGCAACATAGCGTTTGTCGTCTCTCACTATTCATATGTACACAAACCCCCAACTTTTGTTACCACGTAAAGAAACCAAGATAGTACCTGTTTCTTTGTTTCATCAGGGAGAGAAGCTTTGGAAAATATTTTTTGAAGATAGTGAAGTAACTCCCTACGAAAACCTGTGATAATATCTGCATTTGATTGTGTATCCTGCAAATACAGAACAGCCTTTGTATGATGATTTTCTTATATGTATGTAAATTGCGAACTTTTGATACAAAATGTGTTTAGAGAGTGTTACCCTAACACAACTTGAGAGATTAATTCCAGGGTTGTGACAGAGAGACTGTTGAAGTTGATGCTTCCGCTCCTCTTCTGTGATTGATTGCACTGTTTAGAGTCTTGTATTGTTCATCCACCGACTTGTACAGAGCTTGGCTGTATGCTTCTTTCGCCTGCAATATACCAGGCTGAATGATGAGATAGAAAATGGACTTGGAGAAACGTTTGCTGATTAATAGACAAGACCTCATTCGGGTTGCTACTGTCTGCTGTTACATCTGAGAAGTTGATTTCAGGAGCAATTGATAGTCCGGTACCGTGAAACCCAACCAATCTTTTCTCTCCAATTTCTTTCTCAACCTGTAGATGCACAATGAGGTACTAGGTGATGAGAGGAAAGTAAACCAGAGAAGAAGAGAAAGAGAGGCAGAGAATGCTAGCAATACTTTGGGTGGAGGAGGCATGATGTCATAGCAAAGTAAAGACATTGGATAGATATGTCCAGGAGCACCAGAATGTTCAACCAGTCTTCTCATGTTGTCCACAGAAGAAGAATCAAAGGGTGCCTGAACATATATTTTTGACATCAGTCTCTACGATATCCTCTAGACACAGATAAGATCTCTGCATTCCATTAGGTTAACTTACAGGAAACCATTCCCCTGTAGAAGGATCCGGGCGGTCCCTTCCACCGCTTGGTGCAATCCATATTAGTTGGGAGCCAGACCTACAAGTGTGGTTCATGCTACATTAGCAGAATAACATCAACCTAAGTCCTTTAGCCTTTAAAATCTAACAAAAAGATGCCTGCTATACTTCCACTAACCTTAGCAATGTAGCCATCTCCTTTAAGCTTCGCGTGTTTGCTTTTCGTTTCATATCAACAAGCTCAGGATCATCGTTCATGTGCTTTTTCGAGTAGACACATATGAGATTCCTGAAAGCAGAAGAAGTCTTACAAAGTTGCTTATATTACATGTCAGCCCACCAGGCCGTATACCCTTGTCAAAAGAAATTTTGTGATACCTTCCCATACTAAACGGCTTACAAAGAGGATCAGTGATGACTCGATCACCAGCCACACATTTCTGCAGCCACAGAAATAGGGATAAGTATAGAGACAGTAGGCGTATAGCTCAGAACAAGGCTCGAAGGCTCACAATGTTCTCTCCTATGTAGGGACATTGTGCTTCAAGTAACAGGGAAATGACAGCTGGATCAGCTTCACTTTGATGATTTGAGATTAACACGATATTGTGTCCCTGAAATCAACCAGTTAAATGGAAAAGAATTCAACTGCTGATGGAAGCAAAATGCGTTAAAAAGCTTCACGTATGTTAACTAGATCCCAAGAGAGAGGGAAGAGGACCTGACGAAGCTTGTCTTCCAGCTCAGAGAAAATAGAAACATTGCCAACGTATGAGTTTCTGCATAACCAATGGATTTATGGGCTGTTAGTGGAGATTCACTGAACAAAATATGATAATTATGAGTGAAGGTTCCAGCTTACTTGAAATCAATCAAGGGACGGATGTACATATGGACAAACTGGTAGTAGTCAAATGGCTCTCTGACGGCTTTGTGATATGGATTAAAAGTATAAGGATCCTGAAAATTCAACAGCAGGATTATAGTGAGCGGAAAGGTAAACCATTCGAAGATTGACGGAAAAAGAAGTACCTCGACACCAAGAAGCATGCGATCGAAAGCAACAGACATGTTCTTTAAAACAGTCTCCTCTGCATTGGGAACTCCACTACTTAAAACCTAAACACATCAGTAACAATTATTGACAAGAAAAGTACAGTTCAGTGAACCAAAACGGTAAAGCGTAGCACAAAGCGTACAGAGTAACTAATGAGTGAAAGAAAAAAGGCAATTCATTTACTGCATTTTTGTAGTTCCAATACAATTCTTCCATTCCTGATGCAACATTGGGAGGTAACCTTCCAGCTTCTTGTTCCTTCCTTAATCCGGAGATAAGATCTGCAAATGAAAATGCAGGCACTGTTACAGATCCAGAGACTCCTACGTTATACACTGCACGAGACACTCATGGAAACACAACAGACTCTATAGCTTGAAACATTAATTAGGCATATCTTGGAGTGGAGCCATTATAACAAGAATGGAGCACGATCAGAAGCAAAATGCAAGAAACAAGGAATTGCAATGAAGAGATAGATACAATCTCGATTAGTAAGGTATTGCAATCTGCGATAAGGTGAGGATTCGCATATTCGGAGCATAAGGAATCGCAGTAATGTACAACCTCCAATTCCGTATTTGAATTTATATAGCAAGTGAGACTAAGTAGTGAATTCAAATTCTTCGGAGGAGAAGAAGACGAAGACGAAGACGAAGACGAACCTTGTTCAGTTCGCGCATCCAAGAAGGTACGGGAATGGTTGAGCTCGCTCGGAGTCGTATTACTACTCTCCCTGAACGAAGTGCTAGCCGCGACGACAGATTCCTTATCCTGAACAAGCTCAGACATCGCTCTCACACTCAGCGACGATGCGCCGCCACGGCCACGCGAACGAAGAGGCAGCTTCTTGAAGGAGACGAAGCCGCGAAGAGTCGGAGAAACGAGTGGATGAAACGGAACTCTGGCCGAGGAAGTGACGGTTGCGACTGCAACGGCAACGGTTGCGGCGGAGGAGGAAAATGTGAGAGTCATTAAAACGTGATTGGGCGAGCGAAGCAGAGAGAGGGCGGGCGTGTGTGTGTGTGTGTGTGTGAAGGATATCGCTTCCTCACTTTTCTTATTTATCCCACGAGGTCTCCTCTTTTCCTTCCCCCATTTCTTTTCCACGTTTTTATATTTTTACTCTCTTTCTATTTTTTTTCACCAAATTATGAACTCATTATATAGACTTTTCCCACACTTCTATAGAAGTAGAGTCAGTAATTTATTTTTATTTATCGGTTTTAGTGTGTATGTTATACATTTATTTATCTTAACTACTCTATATTTTTTAATAATAATTTTCGGATTTACACATTGAATTTTACTTAGAAACGTATTCAAAAATTTACATCAAAATTCTTTATATTAATCATTTTTTAAGAGTTTGTAAATCAACATTACTATTTAATAGAAATGGCATATAAAACTTTTAGAAATTATCTTCTATAAACACTTTTTAACATTTTAACAAAATGGAGGGACCACATAACAATTTTTAAATACTAAAATATGGATATATAGAATCAAGAACAACAACTTTTTTTTTTGTTTTAAACATTTAGAAAACCAAACTAAAAACTTCATACCTTGTTTTTTCTTCTTAATTGCGTCCGTAGTGTCTTGCCTTTTCTTGGTTTGCAGGAGTCATATTTATGTCACATAATGATATCTAATAAAAATCCTGTGACGTCAAGAACAAAAAACCACGTAAAGATTTTAAATTAATAAAATCAAGGAACCTGTTGAGACCAGGTTCAAACTCTTCAGAATAATTCAGTTTTATAGACAACAACTCAATCATAACTAAAATATTTTTTTTTTTAAAAACAACTTACACTATATAACCGTTTAAATCGGTTAAAATATTTAAAAGCAATCTAAATTACTCTAATCTCTTAAATCAAATAATAATGTTAGTTCAAATCCATTAATTATTATTTCATCAAATAATTCTATAATTAAACTCAAAACAATAAAATTTAATATGGATGACAAAAAAAGAATAATAAATAAATTAATAATACGAAAAAACTAAATCTCACTTAAGTCTAGTATTTGTATTCTCAATTCATTAATGTAAAATAGAAAGTGGTTCATTTGAAGAAGTCGTCATGTGTGTGTAGTAGGCTTTAATGATATTTTGAAAATATTGTAATGATTAATAGTCAAAAATTTGGTTGAGAAAATAAGGCGGTTATTTGAATCGAGTTTGGTCGGAAACTAGTAGCGAGACAAAAATTATCGGTAGACTATTATAAGGAAATAAGTGGTGGAAACAAGCCGGTGCTCAAAGAGCTAGCCGGGAAAGTACAGCCGGCGAGAATACAAAGGAAGTAAGACCTTAATTCTAGCCGTCAAGTGTGTGTATGTGTGATCTGACCTCCTCTTCCAGCCTTCTCCCTTCTCTTTATATAGTCGATCTCGTGTGGATACCCTAAACCAATCCATCTTAATAGGCCTCCTGAATAAGGCTGAGTTGATGGGCCATCGATCAAGCTGCTAAGCCGCTAGTCGTTAGTCGTTGTTCTTTCAGTAATTTTGGATTTGCCTCTGTCTCTCTGAGCGCTTTAGCCGGTAGCCGAACCGATAGAGAAAATCTTATTGGACCAGACCTTCTATTCGTTGGGCCTTGTAGAGGGTGTAAATCCACCTCCTACAGTAATTCCCCCTAGTTTACTTGTGAACGGAGTAGACGTTCTCAGTAAATTTGTGGATCATTCTCAAGGAATAGATGGCTTTGGCACGAGAGGAGCGATTCATCATTAGTCGATTTTTGCTCTGTTGGTCGGATTAGGTTGTTCAACACTTTTTTGTTTTGATCGCTTGTCGCGCGATCTTTCGATTTTTTTTAGACCGGTCGGAATTCAGACTACTGGTTAAACCTAACTAGTAGCCTGGTTTATGGCGGTTTGAGTCAGTAGAAACTAGCCGGTGCTTAGAGAGCTAGCCAGGAAAATGCAAGTCGGCGATAATACAAAGGAAGTAAAACCCTATTTCTAGCCGCCAAGTGTGTGTATGTGTGTTCTAACCCCCCCTCTTTCAGCCTTCTCCCTTCTCCTTATATAGTCGATCTCGTGCGGATACCCTAAGCCGGTTCGTCTTAGTTGGCCTTCTGGGTAAGGTTGAGTTGATGGGCTGTCGATCAAGCCGCTGAGCCGCAGTCGTTAGTCGTTGTTCTTTCAGTCGACTTGGATTCAGCTCTGTCGGCTTAAGATAGACGTAAGTCTCTCTGACCGCTTTAGCCGGTAGTCGAGCCGATAGAGTGAATCTTATTGGGCCAGACTTTCTATTCGTCGAGCCGATACTTGTGAACGGAGTCGACGTTCTCAGTAAATTTGTGGATCAGGCTCAAGGAATAAATGGCTTAGGCACGAGAGGAACGATTCATCGTTAGCTGATTCTCGCTATGTGGTCTGATTAGGTTGCTCGACACATTTGTGTTTTGATCGCTTATCGCGCGATCTGTCGATTTCTTTTAGACCTGTCAGAATTGGGACTATCAGTTAAGTCTAACCAGTTGCATGGTTTATGGCAGTTTGAGTTAGGAAGTTGAAGCGTCGTGAGTGTATATGGGCAATTTGATGGTTCTGAGCCCATTTTAGGCCCAACTAGACCTAATTATGATGGCTCAGAAAGTGCACGTCTCCATCTCTTATAAATAGCCGACTCCGCCTTCATTATTTTCACTTCTTCAGAACTCATAGGTACTTTCTCTCTCTACTCCTCCATTTCTCTCTCTAGATTCTTTTTTGTAAGATAGATAGTTTTTCTAGGGATGGCACCGCCGAGAAGGAAATTAACTCTTGAGCAGAAGGGGAAGCCAGCTGCTACCGCATCCAATCTTGTTGAAGGTAGCAAAGGCAACGAAAATCCTCTTGACCAGTTCGATGAGGTCCATTGGGCAGCGATGATGGAAACAATTAACATGGATCTTCAACAGCGGATTTTAGTCGCACATGCGGCTTAATTGATTAGGAGCGGAAATAAAGGCCACTGAGCGACTAACGAGGCGGGTTGGCAGGCTAGCCTTGACTTTGTCCTAGTCTGCTATTATCTGGGTGGGATATTCGAAAAACTTCTGGCTATTCCCGCTGAGTTGCTACGTCCCGCGAACACACAGGCGTGGGCAAACGTTGAGCCTACCTAGTCTACTTTGGGTAGTCTGAGGAAGCTACTGAGGGATCGTAGTGCCGCGGGTGTGACTTTCATCATTCCCACGAAAACTCAACGATCGTGGTCCCCTCCGGTTGGGTACCAGTGTGTCTATGAGTCATATTTCTAAGAGGATACCAAGCTCTGGTTTCCAATCCCCCAACTGATCACCTCTACGTGTTTTGTCGGGATGTGGCAATCAACCAGGTCAAGAATGGTTTGTTCCGAATCATCGAAGATTGCTTAAGGACTTAGGTATTGAATTAAACAACAACGGTTCCCATTCCAGATTTAAAGTGATTTTGTAAAGCTTTGGCTAGAAAAATCGCATTTACAAATCATTAAGGAATTGAAAATTATTGTTCGGGCTAGTCGATGAGTATTGTGACGTAGCTAATTCCCTCGGACATGTCTGATCAGGACCTATCCGTTCGTGGGATGCGAGCGTAGATGTACAGTCCGTCTTTCGGTATGATCATGAAGCTTGGATACCAACATCGCAGAATTACAAACAGTGGATCGAGTAAGAGCGACCATGAGTTGTTTGCTCAGTCTTTGTCTTTTTGGGTGAAAACAACAATGTGTCTTTTCCTGACCGCGACTAGTACCGTGGCGAATGAGGGCGATCGGAACTCGATGATTTGTCGTTAAAACAAGGCAGACCCCCATGTAAGCTGAAGGGGAACGCCTGTTTTGTTTGTTAATTATAGCTGGGCCCGATTAGGGGCTGCCTACGTACCTCTTGTGGAGGATTAAGCCATTCGTAGTTCGTTTTGCCATGTAGAAGTGACTTTGGGAAGTGCATCTACTCGGCGAGCTAAAGTGGTTGGTACGCGCCTTTTCTCTTTTTTTTTTTGTTTACGAGTAAGAGTGATTGTATGTCATTTAAGCCATGTTCGTTTTACAACCACTGCTTTATCAACCGGCGACTGAAAATATAACTACGATCTTATACTTCTTTGACGCGCGTGTGAACAACAACGACGGAAACACCGTAAAAAGTAACCGCAGCGTCCATTCTAACTGTCGTTGTTTTTTTTTTTCAGAGACACCAATGGCACCTGCAAACACATATGAAAACAGACGCAGCTGCAAATTTTTCATTTTCCATAAATTCAGTTGCTTTAGTTGATGTTCAATTTTTAATCGCTGAAAGCTATCACAACGGTAGCGTAACGAACATGGCTTTACTCAGTCTTTGTTTTTTTTAAAGCGAATAAAAGTGACTATGTGTCATTTACTCGATTTTTTGTTTATGAGTAAAAGTGACTGTGTGTCATTTACTCGGTATAGTAGCGATTGAGATGCATGGAATTCAAATCTCTTGGCACGACCTCGCCGGTTGAAGTCTTGAGGTGGTAAACTCCTGGCTTGACAAGTTTTGTGATCTTGTAGAGACCTTCCCAATTGGCACCGAGTTTACATGTTTTCCTTTCTTTGGTGTTTTCGAAGACTTTGTGCAAGAAGAGATCTCCGAGCTCGAGAGGTCGCTATCAAAATTTCTTGTTGTAGTTTCTTTTGATATGGCGTTGATAGTTCTAGATGTGCAGGAGATTTTGGTCGCGTCTTTCCTCGATCCCGTCGAGTGCGTCGAGCATGTCGCGGTTGAGTTCATTATTCTAGGGCATCTTTGTTCGTCGTAGGCTGGTGACATTGACTTATGCCGGTGCCCTTGCTTTGACTCTATAAGCCAAAGAGAATGGTGTGAATTTAGTCGCTCCTCTTGGAGTAGTTCGGTATGACCACAATATTCCATCCAATTCATCGACCCATGAACCCTTTTTTAAATCGAGTCGCTTTTTTATGCCGTCGATGATTATATTTTTTGAGGACTCGACTTGACCACTACTCTGTGGGTATCTCGGGCTAGACATGTTAAGTCGGATCCTCCATTTGTCGCAGAACTCTCAGAACTTATGGGACATGAATTGAGATCCGTTATCGGTGACGATCTCGTAGGG